AAAATGTGTTTATCCTGGAAAATCTGACAAGGAAATCCTCTGAGCTCATGGGCCACATGTTATTTGGAATGGCTGTCCTTTAGGGCACACCTTTTTTAAAATTAGCAATTACTTCTGCCAGAAGATTACTTGAATTAGCATTAAGACCTCCTCTTTTCTGGATTGTAGACGACTTCAGGGCACCGACCACCAAGCAACTATGCCTTTGGTCCTTAAAAATAATTTTCTTGATTATGGAAAGTCCAACAGCTGCAAAGCTGTTCGAGTGTATTGCTATTGAACAGAAATGGCCCTAAAGCTTATCAGTGTACAGCAAATAACAAGCATGAAGAGCGGTATTGCAACTTTGTGCAGATTGTGTTACGTTCCCAGTCTATGGAACCATGTAAATTAGGGGTCCTCAACCTTTTTGAGCTTGCAGGCCCATTTAGAATTGTGCCACGTCAAGGTGGGTGCCGTCACAAAATGGCCACCACATAATACCCACTGAAGGAGGCAGAGGCAGCACAAAATGGCTGCTGCACCTTAACTTTAATCACATTGTAAAGTTCCTTGTGCTGTAGTGGCAGCTGCTGCCAAAGCAGCGTTGTAAAAAATGTGCCCAGCCGATCACTTTTACCACCCACTTTCTAAAAATACTTGGTGGGTGGCAGAAAAGGTGTCCGTGGGCTCTGTGGTTCCCAGGGGCACCACAGCCCCCACATGCATTACACTGGGAAGACCTGATGTAAGTGGTGTCTGTAGATGCACAATAATTATTGTGTAAATAATCAGCTAAGCAACTGGAGGGCATGACCCAGCCAAAATGACGCATTTTTAAGTGTCAGTGGGAAAGATTTGCAGTACTGTTCTTACCAGGGTTACATCCTTTTAAGCACACAGTGACTTCTATGAATTTAGGAGGGCATTACTGGGTTTTGGATTGCACTGTTAAGCATGTGCACCTCCAATGGAAGAAACAGGGCTGCAAAGTGTTCATACCTTGACAAGATTCTGCCCTGAATGTTTCTGTGAGCAAAAAAATATGGGGTTGGCTCTCCATTTCCCTTCTTGCACTGGCTTCATCACCAGCAAAGAAAGCTTCACCACTAGCAAAACAGTGTCATCGAATCCAACCTGTAGTTCCCGCCCCTGATAACATAGCCCAGTTCAGATGTCACAACAAGGGTTGCCAATTCTGGGTGGAGCCTAAGAAGGGGGTGTTAGGGGAGGGGAGGGACCCTAGTGGGATATAATGTGCCATAGTCCACCCTCCAAAACAGCCATTTCCTCAAGGAGAACTGATCTCTGTCCAGTCATTTTCTTTCAGCCTAATCTACCTCACAGGGTTATTGTGGGTATAAAAGGGGAAAGAACTATGCATGCTGCTTTAAAGCCATCTTTTTTACCTTGAAGGATTCCACTTTGACCTCTGTGGTTTACCATAAGCCATCCGTGTATAATTACAGTGGGAATCGTTATTCAGTGGGAGGGGGGGGAACATAAATTGCCGCCAAGCTAAATGTTTCCCTTCATTTCTGAGCCTGATTCATGTCAGCTGATGGGTCATGCACACTGTACTTCTTAGGGAGCATGCTTTGAACATCACCGATTGGGGATTTTCTGAACTACTGACCCATTAGTGGCAAGGGAGAAAAAATGCAACATACTCACTGGCTCCACTCCAATCCATAGACACAAATCTACTGCAAGGGCCACAAAAATCCTGTTACCAGACAATTATATAAAGTGATCCAATGCAGGGAATTCCTTGCCCTTGTCAAAAGAGGGATCTCAGACCAGGAATCTTTTTCTGCCCACCAATAAGCATCTATTTGTTGAAGGACATGGAAAAGATCCATGAATACATCTATGGATGAAGGTGAATTTAAAGTTTGACTCTTTTTCATGGAGGAGTTAATGATTTTATTATTTGATTATACTGAACTTCTAGAACATATAGCGATTTTGTTGTATAGAAGTTTCTGCTAGCTAGAATTCTGGTGATCTGATGCATCAGCGTATTAGTACTAAATCGAATCCAATATTCTTCATCTAACAAATATGAACGATAAGCAGCTCTGCTGGAAAAGATGTTTGAAACTGGAACATCCTTAACCATTAATCCACGACAGCCCACCAAGATCAAATCTCCCTTCCCCAAGACAAATTAGGATATTGTAACTGCACTCCAGAACACGTAATTTTATTTGTATGCTTATAAGTGTATGATATACAGATCTTATGCATATGCTCAATGAAACCCCTTGGGCCTGATGACTGTTTTCCAACTCCTTGATGTTAGGCTTGATTCCCATTTGCTGTGTGCCAATTCTTTAAGGCCTAAGAGGGGAGGAATCTTGGATTTTAGGCTTAGGGCAGGGCAGTATAAAACTATTCTCCACTCCTGGGTGTACAAAGCCATTGCCAGTGTCGAAAAAGGGCTGCCTATAATCCTAAACCCCCCAATGCCATACATTTAACCCCCAGTGCTCTCACCTCCTGCACGATTTGTAGATTTGCTCCCCTGGGGACGAAAACCACTGTTCCAGTGTGAGGTATACAGGAGCTTTGCAGTGATCAGAAAACAGTTTTGGATCTAACCCCTTTCATAAGCACAAGTTTCATTTAATGCTTATTCCAAAGTTACAACCATAACAACAACAGCAGATGACAAGAGTGATCCTGACACAAAACAAGAGAGCCAAATGATTTTAGGCTGAGTTACTCTGGCCTAAGCCCACTGATTTCACATTTAGACTGGAGTAACTCTGCACAGGATTGCCCTGGAATCATAACTGTTGGATTGCTATTAGTGCATTATTGCTACATTTCTTCTTTGCACATCCGTCAACACTCAACTAGCCACTGCCCAAGGTAATAGGTCTCTTGTGTGGATAACCAAGCCAGTTTGTTTGCTAAGCTTACTCATCTTCCTTCTGGATGCTTTTTGTCCCAACTCTGTGTGTTGACTCAGATGTTGAAATAGCACTGGGTAGAAAATCCAGCCACTTGTGAACTGGTTCCTGACGTTAACTAGTGTCTGCTGAAAAACTGTCATAGCAACCCACAACTCTTGCATAAGCATCGAAACTTCATTGCATGTATGGAAATACAGTGGTGTTTTGAATGTTCATTTCACAAACCTCCAGCTCAGGGCTGTAGTCCTATGCATGCTTACTTGGAAGTAAGCTCCACTGACCACAGCAGGATTTGCTTCTGTGAGAACACATGCATATGATCAATGCCATAAACTGGTTAAGAATTTAGCACCTGTTCTGGATGATACCATATCATATATCATATCAGCGGTCTTGGTGGCCCTTGTAAGACTGGGAAGGTGGGATACAGAGTCCGTAAATAAATTAAATATGCATGTCTGTAAATTATTGGCCTCCTGCTAGATGCCATCAGCCAGATTTTACTTTGAAAACTACCACCTATTTAAAGAAAGGGTTCCTGAAGGGTTGCCAGCAGAAAAATATCCTACCCCTTTAATTGGGGCTTAATGGGGGAGAGCTTTTCATGATAGGGGTAAATAAAATTCCTCTAAACCTGGATTAAAGGGAACACAGGGTGGGAAGGGAGTCCTTCCCTGGACTCCAATCCTTGTCCTCCATAACATGTGAATCTCCAGACCACTGATTGGTCCTCTCTATAAGGCAGCTTCTTGTGTTCAGTCTACACCCAGCAGTCCAAGAGAGGCAGTATGATACAGTGGTTAAATGATCAGACTAGGCTTTGGGAGCTCCAGGTTTGAATCCCTACTTTGCCACGCAAGCTCACTGGGTAACCTTGGGCCAGTTGCTGATTCTCAGCCCTAACTTGCCTCACAGGGTTGTTGTGAAGTTAAAATGGAGATGAGGAGAATGATGTAAGCTGCTGTGGGTCTCCACTGGGGAGAAAGGCGTGGTATACATAAAGTAAATAAAGTTTGAGTCCCATGGCACCTTTAAGACCAACAAAGTTTTATTCAAGGTATGAACTTTCATGTGCAAGGCACACTTCTTCAGATACAGTGAAAGCTTGTACCAGTCAGTCAGTTTTTTTGTTACAGTCCATGACCAGCACACTCAGTCATTTTACATTAAAAACATTTGAATAAGAAATATGGGATAAAACCAATAGCGGCATAATTCTTAAATTAAAAACCTGTGACTACAACATAGAAATAGAATAAGACAGCCATAAAACTTGGGTATAATTTAGATAAAAGATCAGAACTTAATCTAATTCCCATGCATTTTATGTTCCTTGTAAACCTGGGCACAAAATCTGGCCACTTGTCCTGTTGTCTGATGGTTCCTGTCAAAAAGCTCATACCCGGAATAAAACTTTGCTGGTCTTAAAAGTGCCACTGGATTTAAACTTTGTTCTGCTGCTTCAGACCAACACAGCTACCCCACTTGGATAAAGGAATGTTTTTAACTTATTTAATTAGATTTCTTAAACCGCCCTCACAGGGCTCAGGGCGGTGTACATCATAAAAACACTGGCACAATACATTTGCAATTAAAATAAAATTCACAGTTTAGATTCATAGGGCAGCAGCGAGCCTATACCCAATACGATGACGATAAGACTGCCAGAATATGCCAGTGCAGGAAAATAAACAAACAAACAAGTCCTTTCTTAATGGCTTGCTGCTATTGCGGCTTCTTCCCGCTTGCTTTTGGGTCACAGTTCTGTCTTCCGGGCTCTGACCCTCCCAGAAGCTTTGCCGAAGCGATCTGGGATTCCCCGGACCCTGGACAGCTTTCTCGCTCTACACGAACCTTTGGCCTCCCCACCGCGCGCGCACACGCACGTGCTTCTTCTGAGAACCCCGGGGGCAGGTTAACCCCTGATGGCCCGTGGTGGGTGTTGTCTTGCTGCCTCTTTATCCCGAGAGTCCGGGAGCGTCTTCGCGGGCCCAGGAGTTTAAGCCAGTTGCCGGCTTTGCCCAAGAAAAGACAGCAGCTTGCTGACGGCACCACCAATCCTGAACGGGCCCGTTGTCAGAACTGGAGCAAAGACCCGCCATGGAAGAGCTGAGGCAGCCCCACTCGTTGCCTTTGCCCAGCCCTGCGCACCAGGTGAGCGACTGTCTGCTCTCTTTTCCAAAGGCGAACGTTTGTTTACAGCGTCCTGAGCCGGCTCTTTGAAACTTTACTTTTCATTCATGATGTACTGTCTACAAAGCACGCGCCGCTCGTAGCCGCAGACGCTTTTAAATAATAATAATAATAATAATAACCTGCCGGCTGCGAGGCGTCTCCACAGTCGCAAGGGCGGGGCTCACCCGTACCTTCGACATTGTTATGAGAACTGGAACGTCGTAATCTTGAACGTCCTGAAAACGTTTACAATTGCAGCATTAAGACCACCACCGAGGGACCTTAATGGAAGTCCTGGGAACTGTGAATGGAGTGTGTGTGTGTGTGTGTGTTTGTGCGTGCGCGGCGGGGGGGGGGGGTTATCCCTGAACTCCCAGGCTCGGTCTGCAAAGTAGGGTAGGTAGCCATGCTGATGCTCTGCACACTTACTTGGGTTGGATAAAGTGAGGCTGACTTCCGAGTAAGCATGCCTAGCGTAGGACCCTAACGAAGCAGTCCTACGAAAAGTTGCATCCTTTCGAAATTAATGAGTTTAAAATACTGAACCCCAGCCCCCAGGATAGGAGGCTTACTGAACCTTCCTAACCTTGTTTACTTGGAGGTAAGTGTGTGTGTGTAAGTGTGCATCGAATTTCAGCCTTGACGTTCTAAACGGGACTGTCCTGCTGTATAATGATATTACAAGACTTGCTGGATTTCCCTTGCTTCTTTCTTTCCTGGTTTGTCTCCAGATTTTAAACCCACAAGTGCCAGTGTTTGGGTTCTCCATGAAAATCAGGTTGGCTCTATTTCAGGGGAAACTATGGTTAGTAGGGAACGTGTGTGTAACATTTTTCCCCTGACATCAATTTTGCTTTATTGAAACAGGAGGAAACAGACGAAAGGACAAGCCTAGTTTATAAACGGAGGAATAAAGAAGGAACTAGTAACCTCTCATCAGCTGTTTTTAACATTATCAACTCTATCATAGGATCTGGCATAATAGGTAAACATATCCCCATAAATTTAATATTTTGCTGGCTTTATTAGCGGTAGTAGTAGTGATTTAATATTTTGCTGGCTTTATAACTGATAGTAGTAATTTATTCTAATTTTATTACAGTTGTACAGACCCTCAGGTTATCAAGACTTACAACTTTTACTTTATTTAAAATATGTAAAAGCCTACTTTTCTCCCAAGCAAATGGAACCCAGGGTGGGTTCCGATCAGGGCCGGCTCGCACGCTAGGCAAACTAGGCCTTCGCCTAGAGCGCGAGCCGGCCATCGGGGCGCAGGAGGAGAGGCAGGGGCGGCCGCCGGGAATTCCCAGCAGATGCCGCCCTGTGAGGTGTGCGCTCCTGGCCAGGGGGGGCGAGGCAAAGGCGCTCCTCCTCTTTTGCAGGTAGGGGGGAGGCGAGCCGGGGGAGGGGAGGCGAACCGGGGGGCGAGGTGAAGGCGCTCCTCCTCTTTTGCAGGTAGGGGGGAGGCGAGCCGGGGGAGGGGAGGCGAACCGGGGGGCGAGGTGAAGGCGCTCCTCCTCTTTTGCAGGTAGGGGGGAGGCGAGCCGGGGGAGGGGAGGCGAACCGGGGGGCGAGGTGAAGGCGCTCCTCCTCTTTTGCAGGTAGGGGGGAGGCGAGCCGGGGGAGGGGAGGCGAACCGGGGGGCGAGGTGAAGGCGCTCCTCCTCTTTTGCAGGTAGGGGGGAGGCGAGCCGGGGGAGGGGAGGCGAACCGGGGGGCGAGGTGAAGGCGCTCCTCCTCTTTTGCAGGTAGGGGGGAGGCGAGCCGGGGGAGGGGAGGCGAACCGGGGGGCGAGGTGAAGGCGCTCCTCCTCTTTTGCAGGTAGGGGGGAGGCGAGCCGGGGGAGGGGAGGCGAACCGGGGGGCGAGGTGAAGGCGCTCCTCCTCTTTTGCAGGTAGGGGGGAGGCGAGCCGGGGGAGGGGAGGCGAACCGGGGGGCGAGGTGAAGGCGCTCCTCCTCTTTTGCAGGTAGGGGGGAGGCGAGCCGGGGGAGGGGAGGCGAACCGGGGGGCGAGGTGAAGGCGCTCCTCCTCTTTTGCAGGTAGGGGGGAGGCGAGCCGGGGGAGGGGAGGCGAACCGGGGGGCGAGGTGAAGGCGCTCCTCCTCTTTTGCAGGTAGGGGGGAGGCGAGCCGGGGGAGGGGAGGCGAACCGGGGGGCGAGGTGAAGGCGCTCCTCCTCTTTTGCAGGTAGGGGGGGACGCGCCCCGGCTGGCTGGCCGGACTGCAAAGCTGGGTGGTGGCGAAGGGAGGGGGGCCGAGCCAGACATGTGGTTGGAGGGGGTGGGGGAGCCAGGCAAGGCACACCTCCCCCCGCCTCCCCCCCACCTGCAGAGGACGAGCGCCTTCCTGGAGCCAGACAGGAGCGGTCTCCAGGCCCCACCGGGAGGTTTATTTATTTATTTATTGATTTTTGGGATTTATATCCCGCCCTACCCATACGGCCCAGGGCGGCATCTGCGCTCGCTTAGAGCGCAGGACAACCTTGGGCCAGCCCTGGTTCCGATACAGATCCACTTAATTTGTTTAAAAATAATAAAGTTAAAGCTGACCAGCACATAGTGAGATAATAATTGAACCTGGCTGTCCTCGACCAGAGCCTTTTTGGCCATGGCTTCAGCTTGGTGAAACACTCTTCCAGCTGAGATCTGGGCCCTGTGGGACCTAATGCAGTTCCACAGGGCCTGTAAGACAGAGCTGTTCCGCCAGGCCTATGGTTGAGGACAGCAATGGTTTCCATCTTTGATTGGCCTCCGCTTTCTCCTCTCTCCCCTTTCTTTCCCCTTTTTAGACCAGACTATACATCACTGCCTCCTTGAGTTTTATGCAATCTTTTATTATACTGATAGTTGGCCTTGTATTTTATCATATATTACTAGGTATTTTATTATATCTATTGTATTTATGTATTAGAATTTTTTTTAAAATCATGATGTTATCCACTCTGAGCCTGGACAGAGGGAGAGTGGGATACAAACCCAATAAATAAATAAATAAATAAATGACTCACATTAATGAGCAGCAAAATTTTTGAAAAAAGACCCTTCTAATGTAATTTTGTCTTCACAGGCCTTCCTTATTCTTTGAGGGAAGCTGGCTTTCCCTTAGGAATATTGCTGCTGTTGGGTGTGGCCTACATCACAGGTACCTTTTAAAAGCTGTTGCTGTCATAAGGTGAAAATGTATAATAAAGATTTTCAAAAATCAGTTGCAATGGACGAAAGAACTACATCTAGGAATTCAGATTAGTGACATCTGTAATAAGTCTTTATTAATTCTGATGTTTTGAGATTGTTTTTATTATTTTTTTGAATTTTGTCTACTTTGACTGACAGGAGCTCTCCAGGGTCTCAGTTTAAGGTCTCTCATATCACCAGCTACCTGATGCTTTTAAATACCAAGGATTGAATATGGGACCTTCTGCATATACAAAACAGATCCTCTACCACTGAACTACAGCCCCTCCTCAAACATGTCCTGGACCCTAGTGAAGCACACAGGAATCATGCAGCTCATTTAAATGTTATGCAAACCAGCAAGGCCACCTGTGACCGTAGAAGCAACAATCTGTCTCTTGTCAGGTTTTTTTTTGCTTCTTCTTAGTTCATCCCAGGCTCTCTGTTGCTTTCCCTTCTGTAACAACGAAGTTTTGCCCTTGCTGCCAACCAAATTGCTCTCAACAAAGTGAACTCCCTAGCAACAGCACGACTCCACTAGCTTCTTCGATTACAAGGAGGCAGAGTGCTTCCGATATTGGATGGAGCGCCTGAGCTGGCACAGCAGCAAATACAGCAGTAGCTTGCTGCTATAGGCCTTCTGGCTTTATTTGGGCATATACCACTGAAGTAAATGGTGCTGCATCCACTCGTTCAGAAAAAGGTGGTCAACATATGGGTGTGTGTGTGTGTGTTTGCACATGCCCTAGGATTCATCACTGCAAGGATTCTGAGCAAGAAAGGTGTTTTCTGTATAATTGTTGATAGGTGCAGCTTTCAGTTTCAGCAAGCATTGAGTTGGATCCAATCAGCTTTACCACTGATGAAAGAGGAAGGAGGGGTCACTTTCAACCACCAAAAAAAGTTATGCTGGTAACCATGGGACTTGCATGAATAAAAGCCCCCTGAGACAGGGGCTGCAGTGAGGAGAGGGATCAGGTGAAATCAAACGGAAAGATTAGTAGCATCGTATATCCTTGACCGAAGAACGGTAGGCTCCTTCTATCTGGGATGGTCGTCCTCTTCCACCGAGCATGCAGCTTCAGGAGGGGGATGCACATGGAGCGGTGAGGGAGGTAGGGGACACCCACCTAGCCAGCCAGATCAGCCGAATCAACCCTGGTGATCAATGGGGTGACGGATGTCGCAGCCAGATTGCCCTCACATCCAGATTAATAGCATACACCCCTTACAGCCAGCCTGTATAGAACATAAGATGTTAAGATACGCCATCAAAGTTGCCTCTAGATCATCAACCCTGTTTCCCACAGTAGCTAACCAAATTGCTCCAGAGATGCAGAAGCAGGACATGAAGGCATTACCCATCCCCTGGTCTTGCTATCTAGCCAGTGGTATTTTCTTACATACTGCCTCCAGAGATATGGTATCACTTAGCCAGCATGGCTAATAGCTGTTGATGGATGTCTCTCCTCCATGAATTTGTCTAGTCCCCTTTAAAGGCCAGCTGAGCTAGTGGTCATCACCAGACTGTGGAGAAGTGAATCCCATGCATTACTGATACATTTTGCAAGGAAGTAATTTGGGGGGGGTCTGTCCTTAATCTATGAGACATGGTCATTGGGTGACCTTCAGATTCTAATATTACAGAAAGACCTGTCTTTCGATCCTGAAGCTATGAAGATTTGACAATCCTAATATATTTTCAGAATTGCCATCTTTTGTTTTGAGTCCTACACTGGTGGCCAATTTATGGCAACCCTGTAGGGGTTTCTAGACAAGGGACAAATGGAAGTGGCTTGCCCTGGCCTTCCTCTGCATAGCAATCCTGGACTTCTTTGGTGGTCCCTGATACAAATACTAACATGGGGTGACTCTGCTTAACTTCTGAGTTCAGATGAGATCAGGCTAGCCTGGGCCATCTAGGTTAGGGCAAACTAAGAAGAATTAACAATCCTGATATATTTTTAGAATAACCATATTTTTTTTCCACTCCTGCACAGTAGAATACACTGGAAATATACATATTCCCAAGTTCCAAATTCATACATTATCAGAGAAGCATGCTTGTCACTTCCCTGTGATCAGACTTACCATTCTGGTAACATTTCAGTAATGACATGAAATCTTCCAATGGTACAGAAAGTTTCCACATCAGCACCACATCTTCCTGGGAGCCAAAGCTTAAGGCATAGGAACTTCCCACTTCCTCTGCCCAATGGATGTCATTCTGCGATCCAAAAGGTATCAGAGCAGTGTGGGATGGCAATTGCATACTTCCAGAATATATTACCCTCAGCTCTGCAGTTCCCAAGTGCTTCAGACTGTACATATTGTACCAAGTGTCAGTTGAGGACATAACATCATTTCTGAGAAGCTTCTGTATGCTGCGAATTATGACAGGAATGCCTTATTTAAAATGTATGAATTCCTTGTGCTTCAGGGATTTTTTTAAAGGAATCCCACTGTGAACAGAACTTAAAAGCCATGGTGAAACTGTTCAGATTTGCATACACATCTTAGATTCCATAGCGCAATGATAGATTGCAGCAGTGTTCCCTCTAAGATGAGTTAGTGTGAGCTAGTTTACAGTTTTTTAGCCTCCGGCTCACACATTTTCGTCGTAGCTCAGGAAGGATGGCTCCAGGGCAAACTAATTCATGCAGTAGCCAAATCACTCATGCACAACTTTAATGCCAGTAGCTCACAAAGTTGAATTTTTGCTCACAGGACTCCAAAGCTTAGAGGGAACCTTCATTGCAAGGACACAGAATTGCAAAATACTGTCTTTGTGTCTGAGTGAAAGCCCAAGTGGCCATTCTCACGCTGCAATGTGACATCCTCCCACACGACAGCACAGTTGCATTATGCATTGCATTCCTGGCGAAGAAGCGATGGAAAGAAGAGGTGACTAGGTACAGGTATATGAAATGTTGATCAATGACATATCAAAGAACCGATTCAACCTGCAGGATGGACAGGTCCAGAGAGAATGGCATTCTGTTCCAGCAATGTGTTGATCAAATAGAGCCACCTTATTTCTGACCTATAAAATAAAGACCCCCTAGAAAAAATGTGGCTTTTCCATTGCTAATGGAAGATATGATGATGTGCTTCATGCATTGCAAATGTAGCAAGAAGTTCCAGGCCATACCACCCTGAACATGTCTAGTCTTGTCTGATCTTGGAAGCGAAATTGGGTTGGACCTAGCTCATAAGTGGATGGGAGACCACCTGGGAATCCTTGGAGTTGTAGGCTAAACGCCTACAGCTGTAACACCCTGAATATCCACAATCTTGTTGGGTCTCAGTAAGAAATTCCAGGGCCAGCACTACTGGGGTTGGTTTCCTTGGGATAAAGGGGCTGGTTCAAAGCTGGTTTACTATTGGAGGACAGGCACAGACCATTGTTTGCAGGTGTGGATGTCATGACAAAATTAGCAGGGTGTAGTGGTTAGAATATCGGACTAGGATCTGGGAGTTTGGGTCCCTATGCCATGGAAGTTTGTTGGATGACCTTGGCCTGGTCATACACTCTGAGCCTAATGCACCTCATAGGGTGGTGTGAGGATAAAATGGAGGAGAGATGAATGATGTAAGCTGCTTTGGGTCTCCAGTATGGAGAAAAATGGGGTGTATAAATATCTACGTACCTATAGATTTAAATCAGAAGTCAGTTGGGAGATGGGGGCAGGCTTTATTCAGCCACCTCTCTGAATATCCTCCAGGCTCCCATTAGGGGTTAGTCACCAGAGGTTGCCATGACTTCCAGAAGCACACACAGTCAATCACTGGAGGTTGCCATGACTTCCAGGTGCGCGTACACACACATGCACATATGAAAAACAAAACAAAAGATTCAGCAGCCAGGAGAGTGGGATGGGTGAATTACACTAGGAAGAAGAAACTGAAGAAGAAGAGATTGGATTTATACCCCGGCCTTTTACTTGGAGTCTCAGAGTGGCTTATGAACTCCTTTCCCTTCCCCTCCCCACAACAGACACCCTGTGAGGTGGGTGGGGCTGAGAGAGCTCTTTCCAGAACTACTCGTGAGAGAACAGCTCTGACAGAACTATGGCTTGCCTTAAGTCATCCAGCAGCTACAAGTGGAGGAGTGGGGAATCAAACCTGGTTCCCCCAGATTAGAGTCCATACACTTAACCACTACACTACACTAGCTCTGTCATGTAACAACAATCCAGTGCAATGTGTAAATGATCCGGAGACGCCCGGGATCCATTTAGAAGCTTAGCAGCATATTTGAGCCTAAACATTTATTGAGATCAGCGTCCTATCTGAATGTAGTATTCCTTATGACTTCTTGTCAAGCACTTCATGAATACAGAGAGCTTTTGTACTACTCTTAATATCTCCTGCGGAAGATCCAATTTTGAAACGTTGTTATATAATTAGGAGATGACGTTGATTATGTACCTATGCATAAGGATTTTCTTATGATTTACTAATGATGTTGTAGTGCTTTAGATTATAATACATAGGAAGCGTTTTCTTTGCAAGTCTTGGTGACTGCTTGATTTGTGGGTCAGACTCTCATGACTGTTGTCTTTATATTTATTTTCTGATTGGGTCATGTTTGTCCATATTTATCTGGATACCTGTATAGCCTATCCCTTCCACCTCAAATATCTGCCGAGTCACCCTGACCTGGATAGCCCAGGCAAGCCCAATCTCATCAGATCTCGAAAGCTAAGCAGGGCAGACCCTGACAAGTATTTGAATGGGAGACTTCCAAGGAATACCAGGGCCGGGAGGCAGAGGCAGGATATCAAGCCCCTTCTCTGAACGTCCTCCATGCCCCAGTAGGCATCACCAGAGGTCGCCATGACTTCCAGGCACATGCACACACACATACACACACAAATGCAACCCCCCCTAAATCTGCCAAGTCCTGCTCAACTCTGTATTCACTCTCTGTCCTTTGCCTTTTCAGAACTTATGACCAACAACTGTTTTATTGTTCACAGTCTGCTAAACATTCAGCCCTCACCCGTGCAGGTGAATTGCCCTTTTGGGGTCCATCCACAGCCATTAAGAAAATATTAATATTATTTTGTCAAAGACAGGACTCCTCTAATCAGGCAGCATTTTAGGCAAAACTTTAGCAAGAAAAACATTAGCAATGACCTGGCTGAAAACTCCTTTGGCAGTGAGAAACTCATACTGTTCATTTTGGCTTCTTATAGGTTTACTGTAGGGGAAAATTCAAAGAAAACGTTCATGTGAGGCAGCTTCAGATGGACAACAGGAGATCCATGCATGGGACTTCTCAGCGTGTTTTAAAATCAAAATAGCAGCTGAGTGGGGCCCCTATATTGGCCCACAGTACAGAGAAGGGGGGCCCTTTCCCCCCTGCCAGGGCTACGGATGGCCAACTTGGCCCCCAGATGAATATTTCCTCTTGGCATCCCTCACAATTACATTACTTTCCTAGTTCTTTGGCTCCCCAGGATGACCCTGGGATTTTGTCGCCTGTAGTACCTCCCTCCACATGACCCTGTGCTGTTTTGCCAATAAAAACTGATTCCTCTACCCTGCTAGCCTGATCTTCTCAGATCTCGGAAGCTATAATGCAGGGTTGGCCCTGGTCAGTATTCCACCACGGAATACCATTGTCATATACAGAGAGAGGCAACAGCAAACTTCCTCTGAACATCTCTTGCCTTGAAAACCGTACAGGGCCACCAACTTGACTGTGCTTTCCACCCCTCCCCTGGAGCACATCTAGTCTGTGGCACATGTAGTCTGCTTCTTTGTTATTCTTAAGAAAATGCCAGAAAGAGGTTGCTATTAATAGAATCATATCATTTTGTGTCTCTATTACAGATTATTCCATTATCTTGCTGATTAAAGGCGGGAGCCTATCTGGTGCAAACAGCTATCAGTCGCTGGTCAATAAAACATATGGCTTTATGGGGTACCTTCTTCTTTCAGCTCTTCAGTTTTTATACCCCTTTATTGGTAAGCCCCTACTTCAGAGTTAAGAAAACATTTTGCACAACATGTAAAAAAAGAGAGACTAGTATAGGTTTTGGCTGGTTTGGTTTTGGAACTGTCTGGTTGTTTTGTAAGGGAGCAGGTAAGCTAGGACTGTAGATAGTTATGGATGTTTTACTGTTTCTCAGCATGTCTAGACTCTTGGGAGCTATTTTAAAGCTTTGAATGTTCATGATTTGGGTTGACAGTGACACAATTTAAAAGCAGTTTTTTTTTAAAAAAAATGTTCTGAGGGAACCACAGAATTTAACAGGGTTGATCGTCTAACTGCTTTGATTACTTTTTCAGGTTGTCATGACTACTGTAAAAAAAAAGCAGAAATATTTAAAAAGATTCCATTTGTAAAAACTAGGCTGAAACTGACATTAGGGCTTGTGAAGAACTGCTTGATGAAGGAGGGTGTTGAGAATATCAGCCTGATCCTTTGCATGTTTATTTGGAATTAAGTTCCATAGAGTTCACTGTGACTTACTTTGAAGTAAGTGAGCACAAAATAGCAATTTATAATACTCAACACTGCAAACATGGGGAAAGCACAGTTTGATACATATAATTTTGTAGATTTAATGTGTGTTTGGACCTTGTTTACCTTTTTAAAAAAGCATTAGTAATAAAGAACCTTCTATTTCTTTTTGAAAGCAATGATTAGCTACAACATTATAACAGGAGATACTTTGACAAAGGTTTTTCAGAGAATTCCTGGAGGTGAGTGTAATTTTTCTTTCTTTCTGCTGTCTACTGGGAATGTTGGTCAAAAATATTTCTGTATGAACTGGCTGTTCAAAGAGCTTTTTAACTCTTACGTACGGGGCTTATTTTTATGCTGACATCCTTTGCTGATGAAGAAGAAGAAGAGAAGAGATTGGATTTGTACCCCGGCCCTTCACTACTCAAAGGTGTCTCAGAGCGGCTTACAAACTCCTTTCCCTTCCCCTCCCCACAACAGACACCCTGTGAGGTAGGTGGAACTGAGAGAACTCTGACAGAAACTGCTCTTTTTCAAGAACAGCTGTGCCAGAGTTATGGCTTGCCCAAGGTCATCCAGCCAGGTGCAAGTGGAGGAGTGGGGAATCAAACCCGGTTCTCCCAGATTAGAGTCCGCGCACTTAACCACTACACCAAACTGGCTCTGGTACCTGGTACAAAATCTGCGCCTTGACCTGGATGACCCAGGCTAGCCTGATCTCTTTGGATCTGGGAAGTTAAGCAGGGTCAGCCTTGACTAGTACTTGGATGGAATACCACCAAGGAAGACTAGGGTTGCTCTGAAGAGAAAGCCAATGGCAAACCACCTCTGTTTGTCTCTTGCCTTGAAAAACCCTATGGGGTTGCCATAAATTGGCTGTGACTTGATGATACTTCTATCACACACACACACACACAAAATCTGACTTTGCCCGGGATCCTGAAAATCTTGGGCTTCATTTAATGTAAGGATATTATTACTATTTTGGTTTTATTGTGTTCTTCCTCAGTGGTGCTTATGGTAGCATACATGGCAGTGCCATTCTTTTAGTGGCTTGGGTGCCACATGTGGCTCTTCGACATGCCACTCGTGGCTCCTCTGAGCACCGTTCCCCAATGGGGCACCTGTCCAAGCTCTAGGGGAGTAGGCAAAGCTGTCTCCCAGCTGGGTGTGTGGTTGTTAGGTGGTTCACACCATGAAACAGCTGCTGCTGAAGGGACTGGAGGACAGGGAGCTCTGAACCTCCCTGAACTGCTGACCGACCTGTTTACTGTTGGAAGTCCCAGGTGCGATGTCCCCTGTCTCAGACCTCCAGACTGAGTGGCAAGAGAGGCTAGATAGCTAGATAGGCACACTGACCTTTCTTCCTGTCTTTACTCTTCTGCCACTGACCTCTTTGAAATGCAGATTGTGTTCTCAGGGACCATTTCCCCTCCCTTCCCTTCTCTCACTCTCTTGATGACGAGCTCTCTCCCTACACACGCCTAGAGAGAGAGACATGCAGTCCTCTCTTGGCACCATGAAGCAAATGGGCCTCTCACTGTCTGGTTCCATCCTTTAGCTAATAAGTTAGCACTCTATCCGATCTCTGCTCTGTCCTATCCAAAGTGTACTTATCAAATAAAGAGAGAAGTATTTCTCTTATAAAGCTGCAACATGACTCTGTGTAGCTTTATAACCTGAGTAACCTGGTAAAGTGACACTCCTGCATTTGTAGCATTTTTTAAGCGCTCTGCTAACTAATGTTGACCGGACTAACCACACCAGTGAACTTCAGTAGTTACGGGGTTGGATGTAAAAGGCCCATCCTCTCCAACACCCTCCATCCTTTTTTGCAGCCTTGGAACTCTCATCCTAGCACTCAGGTGGCTGCTAGAAGAACAGCCAGTAAAACCACCCCACAGCCATCACACAGGAAAAGAGCAAGCAGGCACAATGGATAGGGGTAGTTTTACTCTCTAGTCTCCATGGCCACCTTGATCCTCCTCCGGGTGCTTTGGCAATTTGTCTCTTTAGCCTGACCTGCTATATTTCATGCTGAGCAGAGAACAGGAAGGCAGAGAGGGTAAACCCTTACTCCCAAGTACATAAGGGCTATCTGAGGTTCAGCGGTGATTGGGAGGGAGGGTGCACCCGATGTGCTCAGAGGTACTCTGATAATTTGAAAGGGTATAATTATATATTTAGTATTAGTAGTTGCATCTAATCTTGTATGTTTGTGTTTGGCAGAGTGGCGCATAGTAGTCAGGTGGCTCTTTTGATTGATGGTCACTGTGATCGTGGCTCTTAGTGGGCCATGGAGTGAGTAGTACTGATATATGGATTTCCTCCAAGTATGTAATTCTCACAGCAACAAGGAATAGATTAGGAAGAGAGAGAGAGGGGCCTGGGTCAAGGGTCAACCAAGTGGGCTTTGTGGCTAAGTTGGGAATTTAAACTCAGGTCTCTCTGATCCTTAGTCCAGTACCCTCACCACTGTACCATGCTGGACATAGTTTTCAAAATAGGTAGAAAGTGTCCACAAAGGTTCAGTTTTCTTGAGGCGGAGCTTCTGCTGGGCTAAATATATTGTACCTCCTACTAACTGGCACTTTCTAGCAACTTTACATAGCCCCAATTCCATCACTTCAATTACACCTTTGCCCCTACCACCACTATTTGATGCACAAATATACAAATGTTACAAAAATGAGAAATGCTTTATTTGGATTAAAGCATAAACATTGAGACTAGGAAAAAATGAGAAAGCGCACGTCCTTTACAACCTTAGCAAAAACGACAACACACACACTCAGGTGTTAGGAAAGAGCTTTCTCTGCTTGAGACCCTGGAGAGCCACTGCCAGTCAGGGAGGTGATACTGTGCCTGGTGACAGCGTAAGGCAGCTTCGTAAGCTCAATTTCTATTATTTATTCTGAGTATAGCATGAGTATTCTTGGTGGAGAATTTTCTAGGTCTCATTTCCTTTTAAAAAACAAAACAAAAGAGAACCTGTCTCATAAAAGCTGTGCTTGATGTTAGCTTTCACTTTGATGCTATTCCTTTGTAAGTGAAATGTTTTAAACATGATTTTAAAGCTTTTGAAAACAGACCTAAATAATATGTCGTCGGAGGCTTTCACGACGGGAGTTCATTAGTTGCTGTAGATTTTCCGGGATGTGTGGCCGTGGTCTTGGCATTGTAGAACCTGACGTTTCGTCAGTAACTGTGACTGGCATCCTCAGAGGTATAAACACAGAAAGATGGAATATTCTGTGTTTATACCTCTGAGGATGCCAGTCACAGTTACTGACGAAACGTCAGGTTCTACAATGCCAAGACCACGGCCACACATCCCGGAAAATCTACAGCAACTAATGAACTCCCGTCGTGAAAGCCTCCGACGACATATTATTTAGGTCTGTTTTCAAAAGCTTTAAAATCATGTTTAAAACATTTCACTTACAAAGGAATAGCATCAAAGTGAAAGCTAACATCAAGCACAGCTTTTATGAGACAGGTTCTCTTTTGTTTTGTTTTTTAAAAGGAAATGAGACCTAGAAAATTCTCCACCAAGAATACTCATGCTATACTCAGAATAAATAATAGAAATTGAGCTTACGAAGCTGCCTTACGCTGTCACCAGGCACAGTATCACCTCCCTGACTGGCAGTGGCTCTCCAGGGTCTCAAGCAGAGAAAGCTCTTTCCTAACACCTGAGTGTGTGTGTTGTCGTTTTTGCTAAGGTTGTAAAGGACGTGCGCTTTCTCATTTTTTCCTAGTCTCAATGTTTATGCTTTAATCCAAATAAAGCATTTCTCATTTTTGTAACATTTGTATATTTGTGCATCAAATAGTGGTGGTAGGGGCAAAGGTGTAATTGAAGTGATGGAATTGGGGCTATGTAAAGTTGCTAGAAAGTGCCAGTTAGTAGGAGGTACAATATATTTAGCCCAGCAGAAGCTCCGCCTCAAGAAAACTGAACCTTTGTGGACACTTTCTACCTATTTTGAAAACTATGTCCAGCATGGTACAGTGGTGAGGGTACTGGACTAAGGATCAGAGAGACCTGAGTTTAAATTCCCAACTTAGCCACAAAGCCCACTTGGTTGACCCTTGACCCAGGCCCCTCTCTCTCTCTTCCTAATCTATTCCTTGTTGCTGTGAGAATTACATACTTGGAGGAAATCCATATATCAGTACTACTCACTCCATGGCCCACTAAGAGCCACGATCACAGTGACCATCAATCAAAAGAGCCACCTGACTACTATGCGCCACTCTGCCAAACACAAACATACAAGATTAGATGCAACTACTAATACTAAATATATAATTATACCCTTTCAAATTATCAGAGTACCTCTGAGCACATCGGGTGCACCCTCCCTCCCAATCACCGCTGAACCTCAGATAGCCCTTATGTACTTGGGAGTAAGGGTTTACCCTCTCTGCCTTCCTGTTCTCTGCTCAGCATGAAATATAGCAGGTCAGGCTAAAGAGACAAATTGCCAAAGCACCCGGAGGAGGATCAAGGTGGCCATGGAGACTAGAGAGTAAAACTACCCCTATCCATTGTGCCTGCTTGCTCTTTTCCTGTGTGATGGCTGTGGGGTGGTTTTACTGGCTGTTCTTCTAGCAGCCACCTGAGTGCTAGGATGAGAGTTCCAAGGCTGCAAAAAAGGATGGAGGGTGTTGGAGAGGATGGGCCTTTTACATCCAACCCCGTAACTACTGAAGTTCACTGGTGTGGTTAGTCCGGTCAACATTAGTTAGCAGAGCGCTTAAAAAATGCTACAAATGCAGGAGTGTCACTTTACCAGGTTACTCAGGTTATAAAGCTACACAGAGTCATGTTGCAGCTTTATAAGAGAAATACTTCTCTCTTTATTTGATAAGTACACTTTGGATAGGACAGAGCAGAGATCGGATAGAGTGCTAACTTATTAGCTAAAGGATGGAACCAGACAGTGAGAGGCCCATTTGCTTCATGGTGCCAAGAGAGGACTGCATGTCTCTCTCTCTAGGCGTGTGTAGGGAGAGAGCTCGTCATCAAGAGAGTGAGAGAAGGGAAGGGAGGGGAAATGGTCCCTGAGAACACAATCTGCATTTCAAAGAGGTCAGTGGCAGAAGAGTAAAGACAGGAAGAAAGGTCAGTGTGCCTATCTAGCTATCTAGCCTCTCTTGCCACTCAGTCTGGAGGTCTGAGACAGGGGACATCGCACCTGGGACTTCCAACAGTAAACAGGTCGGTCAGCAGTTCAGGGAGGTTCAGAGCTCCCTGTCCTCCAGTCCCTTCAGCAGCAGCTGTTTCATGGTGTGAACCACCTAACAACCACACACCCAGCTGGGAGACAGCTTTGCCTACTCCCCTAGAGCTTGGACAGGTGCCCCATTGGGGAACGGTGCTCAGAGGAGCCACGAGTGGCATGTCGAAGAGCCACATGTGGCACCCAAGCCACTAAAAGAATGGCACTGCCATGTATGCTACCATAAGCACCACTGAGGAAGAACACAATAAAACCAAAATAGTAATAATATCCTTACATTAAATGAAGCCCAAGATTTTCAGGATCCCGGGCAAAGTCAGATTTTGTGTGTGTGTGTGTGTGATAGAAGTATCATCAAGTCACAGCCAATTTATGGCAACCCCATAGGGTTTTTCAAGGCAAGAGACAAACAGAGGTGGTTTGCCATTGGCTTTCTCTGCATAGCAACCCTAGTCTTCCTTGGTGGTATTCCATCCAAGTACTAGTCAAGGCTGACCCTGCTTAACTTCCCAGATCCAAAGAGATCAGGCTAGCCTGGGTCATCCAGGTCAAGGCGCAGATTTTGTACCAGGTACCAGAGCCAGTTTGGTGTAGTGGTTAAGTGCGCGGACTCTAATCTGGGAGAACCGGGTTTGATTCCCCACTCCTCCACTTGCACCTGGCTGGATGACCTTGGGCAAGCCGTAGCTCTGGCACAGCTGTTCTTGAAAAAGAGCAGTTTCTGTCAGAGTTCTCTCAGTTCCACCTACCTCACAGGGTGTCTGTTGTGGGGAGGGGAAGGGAAAGGAGTTTGTAAGCCGCTCTGAGACACCTTTGAGTAGTGAAGGGCCGGGGTACAAATCCAATCTCTTCTCTTCTTCTTCTTCATCAGCAAAGGATGTCAGCATAAAAATAAGCCCCGTACGTAAGAGTTAAAAAGCTCTTTGAACAGCCAGTTCATACAGAAATATTTTTGACCAACATTCCCAGTAGACAGCAGAAAGAAAGAAAAATTACACTCACCTCCAGGAATTCTCTGAAAAACCTTTCTCAAAGTATCTCCTGTTATAATGTTGTAGCTATTGGTCCCCCACGGAGTCTAAATTTCATATCAACAGACTTGAGTTTAGAGCGGTAAGATACGCCCTTCTCTCTCTTGCAGATTCCGGCCTTGGGAAGTCTATTCAAATAATTATGGACAATACAGTCGCGATGTTTTACGTCAACAAGCAGGGTGGTACAGGTTCCCTTTCCCTATGCAAGGAAGCTTCGCTCATTTGGGAATTAGCGATTCGAACAGGGATTCCACCTCTCAGTGGTTCACATTCCGGGCTCTCAAAACAGCCTAGCAGACATACTCAGCAGAACAGCTCTCATGGTCCACGAGTGGTCCATTCCGTTCACGTACCTGATCCCCATATTCCAGAGGTGGGGTTGGCCGGAGGTAGACCTCTTTGCCTTGACGGCAGACGCAAGGTGCCTGTTGTTCTGTGCCAGGTCACAAAAGGGGGACAACTGTCTGGGGGATACATTCCTCCTCAGATGGACTTTTTATACTTTTCCGCCTCTTCCCCTCTTACCGAGAGTGTCGACAAAACTAGCACACGACAGATCAGCGTGCATACTGATAGCTCCGCTATGGCCCCGTCGGCCTTGGTTCCCGCTGCTGCTAACGCTAACAGGGAACGAAAGGTGCCCATTACTGCAAGTTCCAGACTTGCTACGGATCGGTCATACTCGCCACCCTGCCCCCCACACCCTAAATCTACACGCATTCATTTCCACGTAGATACTTGTTCTGATCAGGTAACGGAAATACTACTGGCTTCCCGTAAACCCTCCACCGGAAAGTCCTATAAGGCCAAATGGTGTCGATTTACTATTTGGGCGCAAGACCGTAAGATTCGCCCGGACACTTGTCCTTTGATGGAGATCTTTGAGTACCTCCTGACACTAATTGACCAAGGTCTTTCCCCTTCGTCCATTAAGGTTCACTTTGCGGCCATATCGGCTTTCCACTTGGGAATTGAATCCAAGCCGATATTTTCCAATGCCTTATCGAAACGGTTTCTAAGGCGATTGTACATCAAATTCCCTGTAGTACGGCCTCCCTTCCCTCAATGGGATCTCAATTTGGTGTTAACACAGATGATGGCGGCTCCGTTTGAGCCACTGGATAAGAGTTCATTAGTTCATTTGACACACAAGGTCATTTTTTTGGTCGCCATTATTTAGGCTCGTAGAGTTGGGGAATTACAAGCCCTTCGAATGGATTCCCCATGTTTAGAATTTCACCCTGATAAGGTGATGCTACGGCCAAGCGCAGATTTCCGGCCAAAGGTGCCTACTGCGTTCCATACTTCACAGGACATAGTCCTCCCTACTTCTTCCCCAGTCCAGTTTCCGACGTAGATAAGGAGTTACATACTTTGGATCTCAGACGAGCGTTATTGTTTTACTTGATACGCACGTCGGTGTTCAGGTCCACAGTTTGTTTGTTTGTTTGTTGCACTGGTCCCAAAAAGGGACAGACGGCCTCGAGGCAATCCATCTCCAGATGGATTGTTTCAGCCATTCATAGCAGTTATGCCTCTGCAGGTCTCCCCTGTCCCTTTCCAGTCCGAGCCCACTCTACGAGGGCACAAACTACCTCGACTGCCTTCGCGGCGTCTATCAATATTTCTCACATATGTAAAGCAGCTACTTGGTCTTCGTCTTAGACTTTCATTCAACACTATTCAATCGATGTTGATTCTAAAGCTGACGCATCTGTGGGTGCAGCAGTGTTACAATCGTTACTTAAATAGACTGTTCGCCCACACCCGCCTCCGAGTCTTGTGTAGCTTGCTAGACTCCCATGTGGGACTGCACAGAAGACACGAAGATGAAAACATGGTTGCACTTACCTGTAACTGATGTTCATCGAGTGTCTTCTGTGCTGGCACACATCCCTCCCTCCTTCCCCGCTGTGGACGACTTGTATTTTCCACGGCGGCAGGTTAGGACTGAGAGAGGTGCCTCCCCCTCCCCTCGTCATGTGACCAAATGGGCGGGAAATGGCTCATTTCACAATTCTCTCCGAGGGGAGGGGGGACTCAATTCTTACAGGATTGAGAAAGCTCTTGGAATGTTCTTCCGCGGCAGGCCTGCCTTCCGGCAGTCCCATGTGTGCCAGCACAGAAGACACTCGATGAACATCAGTTACAGGTAAGTGCAACCATGTTTTCTACAATGCCAAGACCACGGCCACACATCCCAGAAAATCTACAGCAACTAAAGACCTAAATAATGTTCCTACTGGAAAGACATGCAAAAATACTGTTTGAACACCCTCTCGTGTGTGTGTGTGTGTGTGTGCATGTGCGCATAATGTATCTTTTTAGGATACATTTTTCTTAGCTTGAAGCATACATTATTGTCTGGGGTCTGCCACCCTGGACTTTAGAGGAACACAGGTAAGACTAACACCCCTCCTCCAGCTATACCTGAGGCCTGCCTTTCTGTCACTGCTGGCTACAAAATCATGTCCTGGAGACCCCAATTCCTCAAGCAACCACCCCGGAGAAGCCAGGACGTGATAGTTATGTTTGATGTGATCTCCCTGGGGGCTTGCAGGCAGATGTCAACTTTGAATTTCCCATGGGCGCTCAGTTCTCAAGCACATGGGGCCTCAATTCAGAGCAGGACTGCAGTGCATGGGGGGGGGGGGGATTTCTGCCTCCTGATTCTCCACTGAGCCATCTTCCAGAATGTAAAGGGCCGGGGGGGGGGGTAACCATATTTGCCCTGTTGGCAGCTGTACATGTAGCCTATCAGTGCAGCTGCTAAGGGGGCAAATACCACCCTCCCCAAGAGTGTTTGAGGTTGGTTAATCAGCATGAAGAGCAAGGCAGGAGCCCCTTCTCCCTGTTTACTGTCATTCCGATCTGAATTGGGGTCCTGCCCATTTTGAGAATCGTGTCCATGGGGAGCTCATCTGACCGTAAGTCCCTGTGCAAGTCATGTGTCAAATGTAGTGTGGCTATTACTTTACGTTGCTTTTCTGTTCTGTGTATAGAATTGTTTCATTTCTTTTAAACACCTAACTCTCCCATTTTACAGACTTCAGACTTCTGAATATTCAGATTCAAAATTCATTGACGTTTAATCAACAGTCAAATATCCCATTTTTGGGGAACACATCTATTAATTTTCTCTCTCTCTCTTTGCAGTTGATCAGGATAATATACTTATTAGTCGCCATGTCATCATTGTGTGTGTCACCCTCATCTTCACTCTTCCTCTATCTCTTTATCGGAATATATCAAAACTGGGGAAGGTAAATCGATATAGAAGTGAACTTCTTGGTATCTGTCAATAGCTTTTGGCTGGATTCAACAAAGAATTTCCAAAAATGAAACCTGGAGCAATTTTAATTGATTCCCCCTTCCTGGTGTAGAACTTCAGCTCCCCCCCAAATGCTGTTCTAGGAGGGGTCCCAGGAGCAGCATCTGCAGTATCATTTTTGCACTGCAGAAGGAGGGGGAAGGTAAGATATTTGCACTTTGCTGATGGAGACCCCTTCTGTCTGCAGAAATTACAGCTGAATTCAAGCCATTACTTAGATCATGTGCCCATGTGACAGGCTCGGAAGTTGTATGGATCTGTTACAGTAGCTGCTATTATATGACTTGTTTGCATGTTACAAAATTCCTACATGGAAGGTGCTTCTGCATAGGAACTAGGGGGGGGGGATCTAGCCACCTTTCCCTCTCAGTCTTGTCCATTTCCCCTCCTTCCCATAGCGCTTGTCACACATAGCCTTTGTCCATGCAGGTCCCATGACCCCTAGAATAGGCTTTTTGTTGGTCAAAGGGGACCTCTTCCTCCCTTTATCACTAGCAGAAAAGCTGATTGGATCCCACCCAGTGTGTTAAGAGTGCCTGTGTGTGTGCAGACTAGGCATGTTGGCTTTTTCCCCATGATCAGGAAAATTAGTACATGTGGGAATGGAGCCTGCACACGTGCAGTTGGTACGCACATAGGTGCTGTGCCCATGTGCTGGGGGCAGGACCAGTGTACTCAGTAGCTAGTTTGAGTGGTGCTAGAATGCTCTCTTCCCTTCCATGTGCATTGATTTGTTATTTTATACGTTGAGTGCTCTGGGCTAGTAAATTCCCTTGTGTATAAGTGTTTTAACTCCAATCCTGGTTTGTGTGTTTGACTGGACACTTTCTGAAACCAGGAAGTTCTCATTTGTGCTACACATGTGCAGGGGAAGGAGGGACAGAATGTGCATTCAAGCCAGGATTTTGCCCTAAACTGCACCCCATTCTTTTTTAAAAATAAGCCCTTTTCTCCTCTGAAATGTAGAAAGTATGGCCATCACCTGAAAAATTGATAACCTTTTTTGTTTTGTTATTTACAGGTATCTTTTCTCTCTTTGGTTTTAACAGTCGTCATCCTGGTTGTTGGGATCATAAGAACAATTACGTTTAGTTCTCAGATGTGAGTAACCTGGTTTTTGGTTCTCCAAAACACACACAGTAATTCTTCAGAGAATTGAAAACGGTTTTGAAAAGGCCTTTTTTGTGAATACCCTGCCATTCTAAGTATTCAAAACTTCCTAGAACCTATTTAAAACAACAATCATAACATACATGAACAAGAAATAAGGTTACAAATAGCTACATTAAGATAAATGAGACCAATGGTAAAGAAAGGTGTGCCATAAAAACTTGTGGCTTTGTTTATATGCTTATGTATTTGGGGTACTTTCCCTATGAGCCTTTCTGAGTGCTTTAGCTTTTGTTCAGGAAGTGTGGTGCATTGAGGTTACTGAGCATATTCCAGCATTTACTGAGTGGTGTTCCAACAGTCTCCCAGCAGGAACTTCAATTTCAGGAGGAAGTACATGAAGCTGCTTCATACTAAGTCAGTCTATTGATCAGATGAGCTTAATCTTGCCTACCCTGAATGCTGATGGCTTTCTAAGGTCTTGGGGAGAGATCTTCCCCAACACTTGGTGTCTGATCTCCTTTAGGTGCAGATGCCAAACATGTGCTCTATCCATCCGAGGAACTTGGGGCAGCATATGTAGGTCTTTTGTCCTCCATTTTATCCTTGCTACAACCCCGTGAGATAAACTGATCTGAGCAACAGTGACTGGCGAAGGTATCTCAGCATGCTTTGTGGCTGAGCAGGGAATTGAAGCTCAGTCTCCCAGGTCCTGACTCAGCCACCATGAGACACAATACCTTTGGGCTACAATCCCCTCCCCGCCCCAGTCCTCAATATCACTGTTATTTCCAAGCACTTTATCTGCTAACTGAATTGCTGGAAAACAGCAGTTCGTCTCCCAACAGTCTGTTGGTGATTAGTGGGTAGGAGGCTGTTGCTTTTCACTGGCACATAGTTTCTATTGACGCTCCTTCTCTTTCCTACTATCATTTTTGTCGATGATTTTTTGTACCATTAAAAAAAACATTTTAAAAGATTGGGAAGCTTCAGGTTATGCTGTGTTACAGTCTGGAGCACAGCTTGTATCATGAGAGAATGGAAAGGCAAACTGAAACAGGTTCTATGGACGGACCCCTTTTAACTCCTTGGGTTGGATCCAGTGATCTGCTCGTGCGAGAGTCACAGAACTTTCCCCTCACTCCAGCACCCTTTCCGACCCGAGGAACTTGGATTTCTGTGGGACACGTAGGCTAATAGCAACAGGAGCTGGCGAGCTGGAGTGAGGAGGTGAAAACAAATGGCATCGCCCCTCCTGCCTGTTCCAACATTGAATTAGACCTAGGTCTGCGAGTAGTCAGTAATGGTACATATTAATAAACCTTTGAAATTCTGATGACTTTTTTTTTTAAGCATGAAGATAGTGTTACAGTGAGAATCCTTTTCATAGTTTGGTCTGATAGCCGGCTTTCCTTCCACTTCTTCCTTTGAGTCTTCCTTTTGCTTCATTGCAGCATTCTGTTAAGATGTGGTTTCTGCTGAAGATTGTTGCCTGCGTATTTGAAAGCATGATTGCTAAGTATACTATAAAAAAAGATGTACATAATAGCTCCTGATGATGACTTCGTTGCTATGATAACCTCCTATTTGAACTGTAGTGCTGTTCAGCGTGGCATGCCTGTAATCATGTCTGTAATAAAAATGAAACCTCAATTATTATTTTATGAACACATAATGCCAGGGGCTTTTTTTGCCTGTAACGCCTAGGTGTAATCTGTAATCTATTAAAACAGGAGACATGCCGGCTTTGAAACATTTTATTACATTTTTAGGTTTACATTGACCTTATCTCTTAACTAGGAATAAGACCCATTGTGGAAATCAATACAACAAGCTCTAGAAAGAGGCTCTGGGAGAGTGCCCCAGCCTTGGGCACTCAGTCAATTTGTTCTGGCGACCTCAGCAGGGTATAATGACACAGAGTTCACCATTTTCTCCAGGGGAACTGATCTCTGCCATCTGAAGAGCAGTTGTAATTCTGCGTGATCTCCATCCCTCCCCTGGAGATTGGCAACAATGGTTCTCCATGAGGGAATGGCTGGTTTGGAGGGTGGAGTCTATGGCATTGTACCTGTCTGAGGTCCCACCTCTCCTCAAACCTCACCCTCTCCAGGCTCCACCCCTCAAATATCCAGGAATTTCCCAACCTGGAATTGGCAACCCTAACTCCCTCCCAGCCAACCATCAACTTACTGTTATCTGGTCCCTGGCTTTAGCTCTCCATCTCCTCCCCCTCCCTCCTAGAGAGCAGTTGTAATTCTGAGTGATGTTCATCCCCCACCTGGAGATTGGCAACAATGGTTCCCCATGAGGGAATGGCTGGCTTGGAGGGTAGAGTCTATTGCATTCTACCTGTCTGAGGTCCCACCCCTCCTCAAACCTCACCCTCTCCAGGCTTTATCCCTCAAAACTCCAGGAATTTCCCACCTGGAGTTGGCAACCCTATCAGGACTGGCCCCAATGAGATTTTTTTTCCTAAGGCCAAAATAGGTGTGGAAAGGGCCTTTTGCTGAGAGAACCTGGTTGCCTGGCAACAGGCACTGAGGAGAAAGTACAGTTGGCAGCTCTGATTAGGGAAATACCTGGAGATTTGGGGGGTGGATCCTGTGGAGGGCAGCATTGGGGGGGAATGGAAGGACTCAGCAGGGGATAATGCCATAGGAGAGAGTCAGGATTTCCAGGAGCTGCAGCTCGTTTCCTCTAGGCCAGACCCTGCATGGCACTGCCGCCACTGCTGAAGGAAGGTGGGGGAGCTTTTGAAAGCTGGGCAGCCTTCTCTGTGTTACATCCTGCTGAGCTATCGCCCTGACAAAGCGCCGGCCTTGTGGCCGAGGGAGAGGGGCCGTGAGGGGCAGCGAAGGTGAGTGCTTCCCCTGCTTGCTGCCACTCACTAGGTCTGCCTCCTTCTCCCCTGTGGAAGGGTTGCTGCTCCCTCGGTGGAGCATCCATCCCTTTCGCTGGCTCCCTCCAGACTGAGAGCGAGATGTTGGCTGCTGGCTCTGCGGGCGGGGCTGAGTCACTGCAGTGAGGCAATGCAACCAGGGGATTGGGAGTCTGTGAGAGTGGCAGCCGAATGGGCCAACGGCTGTGGGAGCATGTCCAGGAGTCACACCAAAACAGCTTTATTATGGCTGAGTTCAGACTGGCAGTTTGAAGCGGGAGGGAGTCGTGGCAAAAAAGACCCAGCAAAACTGTTCCGGGTTTTCCCGTTCACACTGCAGTGACTGATGTGGGAGCATACCGGGAGGATGCGCAAGGGACTGTTCACACTGTTGGCCCAAAGGCATGGCTGTAAGGTGCAGCTTTCTTTTTTTGTAATCTGGAGAGATGTGCTTATGCGCACGAGCATTTATGTGCATGAGCGCATGAACACATAAGTGCATAAGAAAAATACGGCTTTTAGCATTCACACTTTGTTGGTGCGGGATGGACGCAGGATAATCGCGCTGTCCAGGGTTTGCTACCACTTTCACCAGGTATCTTTAAAACTTGGGAGTGAAGCATTACAAGATGGGTTGAGTACGGGTGGGGAACGCCTGACAGATGTGCCTGTGTGAACAGCCCATTTAATCCAGTTAGCTCCCCTAAAAAGGGGAGGTATTTCGCTTAAAAGAAAAAAAGGGAAGGGTAGACAGTGGGAGAAAGAGAAAGCTGAGTGATATATAAACTGGTAAATTAAACTGTTAGTAATGTCCAATTAATCTTCTTGGGCTTCTTCTGTGTGTTGTCAAACTTCTTTTCTTAGTCCTGTTACATGTAATTCTCTGTTAGTATGTTAGTAATGTTCCTTTGAGTTTCTGTTAATAAAAAAGATCTCTTCTGTGCACATTCAGAACCGCTTCTTTGCGTGCTGGGTGCTTTTACTATCGCTGACGTGGAGGAGCTTCCTCTGTTGTCTTCTCCTTCCGGCTTGTTAGATCCTCCTTCAGGTTGTTGTTGATACTCTCAGTTCATGCACTATAAATCCTCTTCTTTTCATGCCATTACCGGAGGTCCCCAGTTTTGAGAATGGTATTAATTTCATTTTCGCTTTTATATTCGCTCCCAAACTCTCTATGGGTCCTCCTCGCAATTGTTGACTTATAAGCGCTTGTCAGGCACTTC